CAGAGAAACGTTACTTAGGGACACAGAAACGTTACTTAGGGCCACAGAATCGTTAGTTAGGGCCACAGAAACGTTACTTAGGGACACAGAATTGTTACTCAGGGACAGACAGAATTGTTACTGAGGGATACAGAATTGTTACTGAGGGCCACAGAATCGTTACTTAGGGCCACAGAAACGTTACTTAGGGCCACAGAATTGTTACTGAGGGACACAGATTTGTTACTGAGGGCCACAGAATCGTTACTTAGGGCCACAGAATTGTTACTTAGGGACAGACACAGAATTGTTACTGAGGGACACAGATTTGTTACTGAGGGCCACAGAAACGTTACTTAGGGCCACAGAAACGTTACTTAGGGCCACAAAAACGTTACTTAGGGCCACAGAAACGTTACTTAGGGCCACAGAAACGTTACTCAGGGACAGACAGAATTGTTACTGAGGGACACAGAATTGTTACTCAGGGACACAGAATTGTTACTCAGGGACAGACACAGAATTGTTACTGAGGGACACAGAATTGTTACTGAGGGACACAGAATTGTTACTGAGGGACACAGAATTGTTACTGAGGGCCACAGTACTGTTACTTAGGGCCACAGAAACGTTACTCAGGGACACAGAATTGTTACTCAGGGGACACAGAATTGTTACTGAGGGACACAGAATTGTTACTGAGGGCCACAGAAACGTTACTCAGGGACACAGAATTGTTAATCAGGGACAGACACAGAATTGTTACTCAGGGACAAACACAGAATTGTTACTCAGGGACACAGAATTGTTACTGAGGGACACAGAATTGTTACTGAGGGACACAGAATTGTTACTGAGGGATACAGAATTGTTACTGAGGGACACAGAAACGTTACTTAGGGCCACAGAAACGTTACTTAGGGCCACAGAAACGTTACTTAGGGCCACAGAAACGTTACTTAGGGCCACAGAATTTCTTACTCAGGGACAGACACAGAATTCTTACTCAGGGACACAGAACACAGAATTGTTACTGAGGGACACAGAATTGTTACTGAGGGACACAGAATTGTTACTGAGGGACACAGAATTGTTACTGAGGGCCACAGAAACTGTTACTCAGGGACACAGAATTGTTACTCAGGGACAGACACAGAATTGTTACTCAGGGACACAGAATCGTTGAATTAAAGAGTATGTCAGACAACATGCAGAGGAGTGGCAGAGGAGGCAATGTTTTAGGAGCGAGCAGACGTGGCAGCAGAGGAAGGGGTCGAGGCAGCACTATTCGCAGCCAGAGGCCAGTGCTCCCGGTGTCATCCAGTACAGTGAGGAAGAGCTAACAGAGGGCGGTCAGGGGGAGACATCCGCCTCTTCAGCAGCCAGGCGAAGAAGTAGTGGCGAGGAGAGTGGCTCGGTAGCCGGTCTAGAGACAGGTCTGTCTCCTGACCCACACGCAGCCGAGGGGGCTAGTAGTGAGGCGGAGACCCTAATTGATGATGATGAGGCTGATCGCACTTGGCAGCCTCGTCGTCATCAGGCTATTGCTTCCGCATCATCATGAGAAGAGGGTGGCAGCTTGGCAGCGAGCAAAACAGTCGGTGGGTTGTCTCCATCGCCACACTCTGCCATGTGCCACTTTCAGGTCTCCTCACACACTGCTGGTGTGTACCATTTTTTGTCATAGGGTGCTGGCAGATTACGGCCTCCCATAGCTGCTGCCAGGCCCCTAATCTGCCATGGGCCCCTATACCGCCTCCTCATGCTGCTGCCAGGTCCAGAGTCTCTCATGGGTCCCTGTACGGCCTCCCATTGCTGCTGTCTCCATCGCCACACTCTGCCATGTGCCACTTTCAGGTCTCCTCACACACTGCTGGTGTGTTCCATTTTTTGACATAGGGTGCTGGCAGATTACGGGCCTCCCATAGCTGCTGCCAGGCCCCTAATCTGCCATGGGCCCCTGTACCGCCTCCTCATGCTGCTGCCAGGTCCACAGTGTCTCATGCCATGTGCCACTTTCAGGGTCTCCTCACACTGCTGGTGTGTTCCATTTTTTGTCATAGGGTGCTGGCAGATTACGGGCTCCCATAGCTGCTGCCAGGCCCCTAATCAGCCATGGGCCCCTATACCGCCTCCTCATGCTGCTGCTGCAAGTCCAGAGTCTCTCATGGGTCCCTGTACGGCCTCCTTTGCTGCTGTCTCCATCGCCACACTCTGCCATGTGCCACTTTCAGGTCTCCTCACACACTGCTGGTGTGTTCCATTTTTTGACATAGGGTGCTGGCAGATTACGGGCCTCCCATAGCTGCTGCCAGGCCCCTAATCTGCCATGGGCCCCTATACCGCCTCCTCATGCTGCTGCCAGGTCCAGAGTCTCTCATGGGTCCCTGTACGGCCTCCCATTGCTGCTGTCTCCATCGCCACACTCTGCCATGTGCCACTTTCAGGTCTCCTCACACACTGCTGGTGTGTGTTCCATTTTTTGACATAGGGTGCTGGCAGATTATGGGCCTCCCATAGCTGCTGCCAGGCCCCTAATCTGCCATGGGCCCCTATAGCGCCTCCTCATGCTGCTGCCAGGTCCAGAGTGTCTCATGGGTCCCTGTACGGCCTCCCATTGCTGCTGTCTCCATCGCCACACTCTGCCATGTGCCACTTTCAGGTCTCCTCACACACTGCTGGTGTGTTCAATTTTTTTGACATAGGGTGCTGGCAGATTACGGGCCTCCCATAGCTGCTGCCAGGCCCCTAATCTGCTGCCATGGGCCCCTATACCACCTCCTCATGCTGCTGCCAGGTCCAGGCGAACGTAGTCACACAGGGGAGGAACTTCTCAGTGTAATGAACAGAGAAATCGACAGATGGCTGTCTCCGCGCAAACTGAAAATCGGAACCATATTGACCGACAACGGAAAGAACATGGTGTCTGCTCTGCGTCAAGGAAGGTTGTGCCATGCGCCATGCATGGCTCACGTGTTCAATCTGGTTGTCAAGCGGTTCCTAAAATCCACCATCCCACTGCAGGACATCCTTAAAATGTCACGTAAACCTTGCATGCATTTCAGCCATTCCTACACCGCAAAGCACACCCTCCTTGAGCTGCAGCGGCAGAACGGAATTCCACAGCATCGCCTGATCTGCGACGTTGCAACAAGGTGGAATTCAACCCTACACATGGTAGACCGCCTTTACGAACAGCGAAAGGCCATCACCGATTTCATGATGTTACAAGCGGATAAAGGTACTCCCCTGTGTAACTTCGATGTCAGCCATTGGCAGCTCATGCGTGACACCTGCCGCTTGCTCAGGCCCTTTGAGGAGGCCACGCTATTCGTGAGTCGGCAGGACTATGGGATGATGAACGACGTCATTCCTCTGTTGCACGTCCTGGAACAAATGCTGTTAACAATGGCTGGTCAGGTGGTGGGTAGACGTGGCGCACAGATCTCAACGCCACATGACCCCTGTGGGGGCAGGACAGGAAGAAGAGGAGGAGGTAGGTAGAGGAGGACATTTGTGCTCAGGAATTATTGAGTGAAATGGGTGGTTTTTCCACTCAGCGGACAGGAGTGGAGGAGCAGGAGCATCTGGTAGAGTAGAGGAGGAGGAGGAGGAGACAGAGGACCCAGACGCACCGTGGCAGTATGCTGTGGAGATGGAGGCAGGGAGTCCCTCGCATTCCTTGGCACAAATGGCCCATAGCATGCTCGGTTGCTTGCGTAGCGACAGCCGAATAATAACCATCAGACAGAGGGATGACTTTTGGCTGTCCACCTTGTTGGACCCTCGCTACCGTTCAAAAATGGTGGCCTTTTTTTTTCACACTGCTGAGAGGGAGGCCAAAATAACGTACTATAAAAACCACCTATGTAGTCTGCTGGTCTCTGCCTTTCTGCGCCCAACGTCCATCCTCAGACACTGTGGGCCCTGTACGCTCGCGTTCCGCTGCCATGGCAGCAGGGGAGGGGGTGGGGTGGTAGGAGCAGTGGCAGTGGCAGCTCCACCAGCAGCGGCTGCCTCAGTCTGCAGTCGATGATGAGTAGCTTTCTTCACCAGCGCAGTGAGGAAACTACTAACCAGCCGCAGCAGCAGCAGCATCAGGTGGACCTGGAGCAGGACCTCAAACAACAGGCAGGCTAGGCCTACTTGGACAGCACCCTGCCAACCGAGGTAGACAATCCCCTTGACTACTGGGCAACGAAACTTGACCTTTGGCCCCAACTAGCTGAATTTGCCCTTGAAAGGCTGTCATGCCCGGCCAGTAGCGTGGCATCGGAGCGCGTGTTTAGTGCGGCAGGAGGTATTGTAACTCCGCGGAGGACACGACTGTCCACCCAAAGTGTGGAGAGACTCACGTTTGTGAAAATGAATCAGGCGTGGATTAGTCTGGATTTCAAACCACCAGTTCCTGACACAACTGAATAAATCCGCCATGAATCATGCCCATGCCCCAAACATGTGCCACTTTCAGGTCTCCTCACACTGCTGGTGTGTTCCATTTTTTTGTCATAGGGGGTGCTGGCAGATTACGGGCCTCCCATAGCTGCTGCCAGGCCCCTAATCTGCCATGGGCCCCTGTACCGCCTCCTCATGCTGCTGCCAGGTCCACAGTGTCTCATGCCATGTGCCACTTTCAGGTCTCGCTCACACTGCTGGTGTGTTCACCATTTTTTGTCATAGGGTGCTGGCAGATTATACGGGCCTCCCATGCTGCTGCCAGGCCCCGTAATCTGCCATGGGCCCCTGTACCACCTCCTCATGCTGCTGCCAGGTCCAGAGTCTCTCATGGGTCCCTGTACGGCCTCCCATTGCTGCTGTCTCCATCGCCACACTCTGCCATGTGCCACTTTCAGGTCTCCTCACACACTGCTGGTGTGTTCCATTTTTTGTCATAGGGTGCTGGCAGATTACGGGCCTCCCATAGCTGCTGCCAGGCCCCTAATCTGCCATGGGCCCTGTACCGCCTCCTCATGCCTCCTCATGCTGCTGCCAGGTCCACAGTGTCTCATGCCATGTGCCATGTGCCACTTTCAGGTCTCCTCACACTGCTGGTGTGTTCCATTTTTTGTCATAGGGTGCTGGCAGATTACGGGCCTCCCATTGCTGCTGCCAGGCCCCTAATCTGCCATGGGCCCCTGTACCGCCTCCTCATGCTGCTGCCAGGTCATGGGTCCCACAGTGTCTCTCATGCCATGTGCCACTTTCAGGTCTCCTCACACACTGCTGGTGTGTTCCATTTTTTGTCATAGGGTGCTGGCAGATTACGGGCCTCCCATTGCTGCTGCCAGGCCCCTAATCTGCCATGGGCCCCTGTACCGCCTCCTCATGCTGCTGCCAGGTCCAGAGTCTCTCATGGGTCCCTGTACGGCCTCCCATTGCTGCTGTCTCCATCGCCACACTCTGCCATGTGCCACTTTCAGGTCTCCTCACACTGCTGGTGGTGTGTTCCATTTTTTGTCATAGGGTGCTGGCAGATTACGGGCCTCCCATTGCTGCTGCCAGGCCCGTAATCTGCCATGGGCCCCTGTACCGCCTCTTCATGCTGCTGCCAGGTCCAGAGTGTGTCATGGGTCCCTGTACGACCTCCCATTGCTGCTGCCAGGAGGCAGCAGGGTCGCAGCAGTGTCAGTGGAGGCAATGGGCCACAGTAGAGCACAGCTCCACTGCAGCCTACTCACACGGCCAGTAGTGGTCCCGGTGTGCACGGAGGCCTCCCATAGCAGGTCTCCCTGCTGTCAGGGCCAGTGAGGAGTAGCGGGGGCAAAGTTTCCTATTACGGCCTCCTGTGCAATTTTTGTCCAGCCGCCCGAGGAAGTAAACGTAGCCCATGTATGTCGACTATGTGGCCAAAAGTCCAAGCGTGGCCAGGGGGCCCATGCCTGGGACTACAGCGTTCTCCATCGCAGCGTCGCCATTCTCGGTGCCATGTGCCACCAGGTCCTAAAGATACTGCGGTTCTGCCTGCCCCAGCCCAGGGTTCCATTTTTTGTCATAGGGTGCTGGCAGATTACGGGCCTCCCATTGCTGCTGCCAGGCCCTTAATCTGCCATGGGCCCCTGTACCACCTCCTCATGCTGCTGCCAGGTCCAGAGTCTCTCATGGGTCCCTGTACGGCCTCCCATTGCTGCTGTCTCCATCGCCACACTCTGCCATGTGCCACTTTCAGGTCTCCTCACACACTCTGCTGGTGTGTTCCATTTTTTGTCATAGGGTGCTGGCAGATTACGGGCCTCCCATTGCTGCTGCCAGGCCCGTAATCTGCCATGGGCCCCAGTACCGCCTCCTCATGCTGCTGCCAGGTCCACAGTCTCTCATGGGTCCCTGTACGGCCTCCCATTGCTGCTGTCTCCATCGCCACACTCTGCCATGTGCCACTTTCAGGTCTCCTCACACTGCTGGTGTGTTCCATTTTTTGTCATAGGGTGCTGGCAGATTACGGGCCTCCCATAGCTGCTGCCAGGCCCCTAATCTGCCATGGCCCCTGTACCGCCTCCTCATGCTGCTGCCAGGTCCACAGTGTCTCATGGGTCCCTGTACGGCCTCCCATTGCTGCTGTCTCCATCGCCACACTCTGCCATGTGCCACTTTCAGGTCTCCTCACACACTGCTGGTGTGTTCCATTTTTTGTCATAGGGTGCTGGCAGATTACGGGCCTCCCATTGCTGCTGCCAGGCCCGTAATCTGCCATGGGCCCCTGTACCGCCTCCTCATGCTGCTGCCAGGTCCAGAGTCTCTCATGGGTCCCTGTACGGCCTCCCATTGCTGCTGTCTCCATCGCCACACTCTGCCATGTGCCACTTTCAGGTCTCCTCACACACTGCTGGTGTGTTCCATTTTTTGTCATAGGGTGCTGGCAGATTACGGGCCTCCCATAGCTGCTGCCAGGCCCCTAATCTGCCATGGGCCCCTGTACCGCCTCCTCATGCTGCTGCCAGGTCCACAGTGTCTCATGCCATGTGCCACTTTCAGGTCTCCTCACACTGCTGGTGTGTTCTATTTTTTGTCATAGGGTGCTGGCAGATTACGGGCCTCCCATTGCTGCTGCCAGGCCCGTAATTGTGCCACTTTCAGGTCTCCTCACACACTGCTGGTGTGTTCCATTTTTTTGTCATAGGGTGCTGGCAGATTACGGGCCTCCCATAGCTGCTGCCAGGCCCCTAATCTGCCATGGGCCCCAGTACCGCCTCCTCATGCTGCTGCCAGGTCCACAGTCTCTCATGGGTCCCTGTACGGCCTCCCATTGCTGCTGTCTCCATCGCCACACTCTGCCATGTGCCACTTTCAGGTCTCCTCACACTGCTGGTGTGTTCCATTTTTTGTCATAGGGTGCTGGCAGATTACGGGCCTCCCATAGCTGCTGCCAGGCCCCTTATCTGCCATGGGCCCCTGTACCGCCTCCTCATGCTGCTGCCAGGTCCAGAGTCTCTCATGGGTCCCTGTACGCCTCCCATTGCTGCTGCCAGGCCCGTAATCTGCCATGGGCCCCTGTACCCGCCTCCTCATGCTGCTGCCAGGTCCAGATTCTCTCATGGGTCCCTGTACTGCCTCCCATTGCTGCTGTCTCCATCGCCACACTCTGCCATTTGCCACTTTCAGGTCTCCTCACACACTGCTGGTGTGTTCCATTTTTTTGTCATAGGGTGCTGGCAGATTACGGGCCTCCCATAGCTGCTGCCAGGCCCCTAATCTGCCATGGGCCCCTGTACCGCCTCCTCATGCTGCTGCCAGGTCCACAGTGTCTCATGCCATGTGCCACTTTCAGGTCTCCTCACACTGCTGGTGTGTTCTATTTTTTGTCATAGGGTGCTGGCAGATTACGGGCCTCCCATTGCTGCTGCCAGGCCCGTAATCTGCCATGGGCCCCTGTACCGCCTCCTCATGCTGCTGCCAGGTCCAGAGTCTCTCATGGGTCCCTGTACGGCCTCCCATTGCTGCTGTCTCCATCGCCACACTCTGCATGTGCCACTTTCAGGTCTCCTCACACACTGCTGGTGTGTTCCATTTTTTGTCATAGGGTGCTGGCAGATTACAGGCCTCCCATAGCTGCTGCCAGGCCCCTAATCTGCCATGGGCCCCAGTACCGCCTCCTCATGCTGCTGCCAGGTCCAGAGTCTCTCATGGGTCCCTGTACGCTCCCCCCATTGCTGCTGTCTCCATCGCCACACTCTGCCATTTGCCACTTTCAGGTCTCCTCACACACTGCTGGTGTGTTCCATTTTTTGTCATAGGGTGCTGGCAGATTACGGGCCTCCCATTGCTGCTGCCAGGCCCGTAATCTGCCATGGGCCCCCGTACCGACTCCTCATGCTGCTGCCAGGCCCTTAATCTGTCATGGGCCCCTGTTGTCGCTTGTTGGCATATTCCGCTCGTTCAGATGCTCCTTCTCCTGCTACTCCTCTTCACGGATTCCGTCAGCAGTCTTTCTTGGAATCCGTTTCCAAGAGACAACAGTTTGCGAGCACGCACCCGACGGTGCAGAAGCTGAACGTCCTCCTGTCCAAGTTGCTGCTGCCAGGCTCGTAATCTGTCATGCGCCCCTGTACCGCCTCCTCATGCTGCTGCCAGGTCCAGAGTGTGTCATGGGCCCCCGTACCGACTCCTCATGCTGCTGCCAGGCCCGTAATCTGTCATGGGCCCCTGTACCGCCTCCTCATGCTGCTGCCAGGTCCAGAGTGTGTCATGGGTCCCTCTACGGCCTCCCATTGCTGCTGCCAGGCCCGTAATCTGCCATGGGCCCCCGTACCAACTCCTCATGCTGCTGCCAGGCCCAAGTGCAAAGATTTTAATCTGTCATGGGCCCCTGTACCGCCTCCTCATGCTGCTGCCAGGTCCAGAGTGTGTCATGGGTCCCTGTACGGCCTCCCATTGCTGCTGTCTCCATCGCCACACTCTGCCATGTGCCACTTTCAGGTCTCCTCACACTGCTGGTGGTTTCCATTTTTGTCAGAGGGGGCTGTATGGCCTCCCATTGCTGCTGCCTCCACCGCCACACTGTGGCTCCACACTCTGGTTTTGGCCCCGTGACTGCCCAAATGAGTGAAGTGTGCGGTGATTCTAAGATCGACGGCACTCATCTGCATGTCATACTGACTGTCAGTATTATTTCTCTTTCCCCAGCAGAGTCCAAGGGCATTTAAATTAAAGGTACAGTGTTCTGCACTAATATAAAGGCTCTCTGAAGCCTAGAAACACCCTTTTATAAGTTAAATTCGCAGCGAATATATTCGACTCGAATCAAAATTTTTCCACGAATTCGCCGAATCAGTCGAATCGAATTTTTGAATACTTCGCTCATCTCTAATATTGATCAATTATTCACAAAAATGTATGCTAATCTCTTATTATCCTTCATAGGTTGCTACATTCATTCAGATCAGGTGGGCTTTCCCCAGCATAGACAGGCGCCGGTCAAGTGCCCCGTGCAATCAATTTGATCACTCTTCACTCATCTAGGGACAGGAAGGGGAATAGACAGGGGATGTTTCTATCAGACATACAGAAAGCGTTCAAAAAAAATTTTTATTTTTTGTTCCAAAATTTTTGGCTTCTCTTCACTCTTTAAATAGCACACCTTCTGCTCAAATTATGTTGAGAGGCCTTAGATCTAACTCATTCACAACTGTGTCAGGTACCAGACAGGTCTCTCCGATTTCCCCTCTCTTATTTGTAATAGCTGTTGGGATCGTCCCCATAAATGTGTACTTTTCACAGAGAATTTAATGCTCTTCGTTGCCCTCACTCGACATTACCAAATCTGCTTCGACTATTGATGCGTTTCAGGAAGAGTTCAGGGTTGGCGGTTAACTGGGAGAAGTCAGAAGCCATGAACGTTAGTTTCACAGACTCTGCAGTCTCAGTACTCCTTTTCCTAGCAACAGTGTTGTTATATTATTTAGGTGCTAGGCTTATCCCTTACATATATATGCTTTACAAGACTAATTACCTGGAGCTTTTTAATCAACTACTTGCGGATGCACAGATATGGACTGATGCGTCTTTATTCTGGATGGGGAGAATTGTGTCGGTGAAAATGACAGTTCTACCCAAATTGCTGTATTATTTTTTAACTCTTCCAATTTCTGTGCCCTTAGAGAAAATTGTAAAAATTTCAAGCAAAAATTTTCAAATTCATCTGGGGAGCCAAGGTTAGTCAAGTAGCTTGAGCTTTGTTGTATGCTCCCAAGGAATAGGGAGGCCTGGGAGTTCCAGATTTCCACAAATATTATAGACTGGTGCAATTAACCCAGCTGTCAATTGCACTCTTCATATTATCAGCCAGTCTGGGTGTCTTTAGAGGCCCAAGTCTGCACCCCTCTACTCAGACAACTGGTACTTTGGATTCCTTCCAAACATAGCAAAGCCCTTAAACCCAACACTTTCTCATTTCCTAACCCTATGGATTCTTCCTCTAGGAGTTGACCCCCGTTTACTCCCTCTACATCCCGGTCACCCCTCTCTGTCCCCCGAGCTTTACAATCTCACCAGTTTCGATGATGGATGACAAGGGATTATACCGGACAGGACAGTTTTTTTGTTCATAAGGGAATATGTCCTTCCTCATACGTTGTACAATATCAAGATATGACACTTTCTGAAAGTTTTCATCTACAACAAATTCTACATTACATACACCCTCTTCAAAAACTGAGCGCTGACCTTGCAACACAAAAGGTGTTTTAGAAACAGATGTTTGCAGGCTACACTGCAACAAGGATGAATTTCGAAGCTGTACAAAATAGTTGTTGCCCCATCCTCCAAACTGTCATACCGATTGGCATGGAATAAAAACCTTAAACATAGAACCGATGATGTGAACTGGCGATCCTGGAACACCTATATCGATAAGGGTATTATGAATGTAACACTGGTTGAGGCAGGCTTTAAAGTGCTGCTAAACCCACAACAGTAAAATCAGTCTGTATATGCAGTAAAGCATGCTTGTTATACTTATTGTGGAACCTAAGGCGTTAACTCACCAAATTTTTTAAATTAAAAAAATAAAATGAAATACTCAAAACCCTCTGGGTCTGCCTTCCAACCAGAGAGGGATCTGGTGAAAATATGCAGACCCCCAGGACAGACTGAAGATTATTATCATTTGTTGATTGACGAGATAATCCAAATGGCAATGAAGGGGGAGGTTTTGATTATGGGTGACTTAAAACATGCCTGACATTAACTGAATTCTCAAACTGCTATTACAAGCTCCTGCACTGGGATGTAATGGAAGCCCTGAATGGGCTTTTTCTAAAACAGTTAGTAAAAAGTCCAACCCAAGGTGATCATACTGTCTATTGTTGAGGTGGGAGAAAATTTGGGTTCTAGTGATCATCAATGTCTTTGGTTTGATAGTAGTATGTATTTATTTATTTCAGGTGCTTATATAGCACCGTCCATTTACGCAGCGATTTTCATATATATTGTACATTCACATCAGTCCCTAACCCTCAAGGGGTGTACAATCTAAGGTCCCTAACTCACATTCATACATACATATACTAGGGCCCAATTTAGACAGGATACAATTAACCTACCAGCATGTCTTTGGAGTGTGGGAGGAAACCAGAGTACCTGCAGAAAAACCCACGCAAGCATAGGGAGAACATGCAAACTCCAGGCAGGAGGTGCCGTGGCTGGGATTTGAACCAACGACCCTAGTACTGCCAGATGGAAGTGCTAACCATTTAGCCACTGTGCAAAATAAGAACTGAAAAATCATATACAGAAACAAAAGTTTTAGATTTTAACCAATTCAATACCGGGGCAATTTTTACACCTTCCTGCCCAGGCCAGTTTTCAGGTATCAGCGCTCTCACACTTGGAATGACAATTGCGCGGTCATGCAACATTGTACCCAAACTAAAATGTTATCATTTTCTTCACACAACTAGATTTCTTTTGGTGGTATTTAATCACTGCTGGGGTTTTTATTTTTCGGCCAATCTAATTTCTTGAGATCCAAGAATGTCAGAACAGTACAGATATCCCCCAAATGACCCCTTTTTGCAGAGTAGACAGCCCGACGTACTTCATAAGAGGCGTGGCGAGTTTTTTGAAGTTGCATTTTTTTGTCATAATTTTTCGGAAAATGAAAAAATGCAAAAAATTATTTTCACTATATTTTTTTTTTTTTTACACACTGTCACCAGTGCAGTACAGCATCTTCATATAACTGGCATGGCGGTGATCAGGGACACTGACTGGTGACAGTATGAAAAAAAAAATATATATATTTTTTTAATTTTTTTAATTATTTTAAATTTTTTATCACATTTGTTTTCTTTTTTTAAGATTTTTTTTTCATATTTCACTATGTCCAAAGTAGTACAATGTTACCATAGTAACATTGTACTACTTTGGGGAAGTGATCAGTATTTTTTTTTTTTTTTTTTTTTTTACACAATTTGCTTATAGCAAAGAATTACTTTGCAAGCATTTACCTGAATGACATCGATTAATTCAGGGTTTTTTTTTTTTTTTTGTGCTTAGCTGTGATTTGGCCACAGCTAATCACATGACATGTGCATGTGATTAGCTGTGACCATTCACAGCTAGACACTAGTATACAATGGATGGCATGAATGAAGCCATCCATTGTATACAAATGTCATGTGACCTGCTGTGATTGGTCACAGCAGGTCACATGGTACTGGCAACGGGGACCGATACTCAGATCTGTCATCGGCCATGTCCGAGGTACACGGCCGGTGACAGATTGCGCCGCTGCGCGGCTCTGCAAGCGCGAAAAGTATGCATGTGCGGGAGGACGCCATATGGCGTCCACCCGGAACGCTGATGACATTTGCCGGCCGCCATTCGGCCATAGGGTGGGCGGCAAATGGTTAAAAAGACAAACTTTGCTGAAATGGGTGACTTTCTAAAAAAAAGTTTAAAGGTTTGGAGTACAAAGACAGGAGTAAGTAATCAGTGGGCAAGGATACCACCTGGAAGCAACTAGATTGTATGTCAGGCAGGTTAGTAAGAATAAATGGAAGAAAAAAACAATATGGTTCACTAAAGAGAAGTAGGATAGTAAAGGAAAAAAAATCAGCATATAGGAGATCCAAGGAAACAGGAGGTATAGCTGACAGAGTATGAGAATAGACAAAAGGAGGCCAAACACATTATCAGTGCCTCCCCCTTCTCAAGTTAACTCCGCAGTAGGTCTTTTTAGAGAACAAGTATTAAGGGATTTAAACAATCTTCCTGTTAGAAAATACTATGCTGACCACTCTACCAAAATTGCTATGAGTTCTCTTCTTGAGAAGAATGACTTGGTAATTCGCCCGGCGGATAAAGGTGGAGGTGTAGTGATTTTAGATAAGCAATATTATGTTGACGAGGTTTATAAAATTTTGAATGATTCTACTACCTATCTGCCTTTGAAAAATAATCCCTTTTTGAAATATAAAAAGTCTCTTAAAAATATTATCAGTTTAGGATTTGATAAAAAACTAATTAACCTGAAAGAAAAAGATTTTTTGTGTCCCAAAGCGCCTAGATTACCTATCTTGTACATTCTGCCAAAGGTGCATAAGGATGCTCTAAACCCTCCGGGTAGGCCAATTGTAAGTGGGATTAATTCCCTTTGTCCAAGATAGGAGCTTACATAGACCATTACCTTCAGCCCTTGGTTGCCCTTACACCATCCTATTTAAAGGACACCAAGCAAGTATGAAATGCTATACAAGATATTACTGTTAATCCCACTACCTACTTGGTCACTGCGGATGTAGAAGCCCTATATAGTAGTATAAGCCATCAAGAAGGTTTACAGGCAGCCAATTACTATTTAAAACATCATAGCTCTTTATCTGCATTCCACGTGGGTTTTATTCTTGAATTACTGGATTTTGCGATGAAAAAGAATTACATGTGGTTTGAAGGTAACTTTTACCTGCAGATTAAGGGCGTGGCTATGGGGGCTAAGTTCGCCCCCAGCCTTGCCAACCTCTTCATGTCATACTGGGAGGAGGAGGTTATATATGCTAGAGAGTGGCCTGAATTATCCTTCTATAAGAGGTACATTGATGATGTGCTATTGTTATGGAATGGGAGCGAGCAATCTCTCATTAACTTTTTTGGAACA